TTTCTACATCAAGGTGCCCTTAGTTTTTCACACATGGCTTCTCCATTTTGGCTTTCTTTTTTTCTTTCTATATTTTACCCTGAATTGGAACTGAATGTGCTTCTTCCTGGATCACCCAGCCTAAAAACAGCACTTCAAAGGAGGAAAAAAAAGTCCTTAAAGCAGACATAAGAGAGGAATTAATGTTCAAGGCTGAACAAGGTCTTTATCTTTCTTTCCAGAAAGGAGGAGTACATAACTAGTTGCTGTAATATTTATTCCTTTTACTGGAGCAGTTAATATTGCCAGTAACTCACTGGTTTTATCCCCTGCATTACATTTCATAATTCAGAGACTGATTTAAGTTCATGGGGGGGGGAAAAACTTTATTGTTTGCATTTCCCTCCTGAGCTGCAAGCAAATTGTACCTACTTACATTTTATGATTTTTAGATAATTAAAATATTTTACGAAGGCAACTAAAATCCTCCCCAGAGTTAGGAGTGATTGACTAGCACTCCTATACAAGGGAAGAAGGAGGGACCTTTTTAAAGCTTTTCCTGCCATTGACATGTTAAATGTTGTAGCCTCCTACACTGTTCAGGCTCCAGGGAGAAGCTGAATGCTTGCAAACATTTATTGTTATTTATTGTTAATGCCCCATCAGAGTTGAAAGCAGGTCACGTTTATGCCTGTTTGCCAATATGAGATATGAATCAAATGCCAAATGTTGGAAATGTTTATAGTGCCGTTGCATTTAATTACAGTAAAACACAACAGCAAAGGCTTCAATGAGTAAAGGGCCCAAATAAATTCTATGGCTATTTCTCCACTATTGAATTAAAGCTCCATTTGCCCCCTCTTGTTCCAGCACAAAACAGCTCCAGCCCAAAACTGGACGGCCGTGTCACCAGTCCTCGTATCCTTGCACTGTTGCAACTCCCGGCTGAACGACGGTGCCCTGATTTGTGGCTGTGCAAACTGTTACCGACATATGGATTGACTTGGGTGCCAATTAGCCAGCAGAAAAAACATCCGTCAACCAAGGTGTTGCCGTGGGAGTGGATCGGAAGCCTTTGTACAATTTGGGAGCTTTGCCAGGTTTTTTAGGCCAGTTGTCTGCCCCTCTTCCCACACCCCATTTGAGCAACAGATTCTAATGTAGATTGTGGCAGCAGTGGCTTCAGGAGATACAACTCAACATGCAGACACAAGCTGAGGACGCCAGCTGAAGGACTATTTTATTGTATCAATTTACCCTACTCAGCACGTGGTTCCTGTTTGAGTTCCCTGAAACCAACTTAACAAGGAAAGAGGCGGAAGGGGCAGGACCAAACGAAAAAGGAGCTACATACCCCTCACCCCTTTGTAACTGCATGCATGGCAACAAAGCAGTTCATTCTGTTGCCTGCAGAAGACGCCTCTGAGTCTGGCTCTTGTAGGATCCTGGGGGAAGGTTGCATCAGCCTCTCGCCTCACCGCAGGATGGGGTGGGGGGAGCATTCAAGTTTAAGGACTGGTGTCTTCCCCATTACCTATCTGAGGTTAACTCGAGCTGACACCCTGTATGTTTCTGTCCCAAGCGCTTCACAAATGCTGCCCTTGTTCACTGGTAGTCTAAGGCACACCTTTCTTGCAATGTCAGGGCTTCTGCAATGCCCCTTTGTCATCTTTATTTGGGTCCTCTGAGATTGTGCGCCCTGGGGATGAGGACATGTCATTTAAAAAATTGCAGCTTTTAAACTATCAATCCATTGCTCTTCTTTTAGCTAAGTAGAACTGCAGTGCGGATGGGGGGTAGGGGGGACTGGCCTTGATCAGGAGGGCTCAGAGGAGCTATGACTGGCATCTGATAGAAGTCCTCTTGCAATCCAAAGATACTGTTGCCTGAACTGCAGTGCATACAGGTAGTCCTCATTTAGCAACTGCCTCAGACAGTGACTGTTCACAGTTATGAGGATGATGAAAAAGTAACTTTGCGACCAAGCCTCACATTTATGACCTTTGCAGCATCTCCCAGGCATGTGTTCACCATTACAGTCAGTTAGCCCATGCTGTCCTGTGCCTGATCTGCTCCCCCCACTTCCCCCAGCAGAGAGATTGCCTAAACATGCTATCTCTTCCTGAGCTGCCTTTCTCTAAGGAGCAGCAGGTCCCTAAAAAGTCCTAACTGCAAGTTAACAAGCTCAGTTCTGTGACCTTGATTAGTTGATTAGAACCACCCCCGGCTCTAAGCTGCTCTTGACAGATGAGATCCTAATCTTTTCTGCCTTCTAAGCAGTGCACCAGGCAAACAGCCAGCACTAGCATGTTGCTTTCAATGTGTATTCCCCATTGTGTGCCTGCTTACTCTTGTAATCCCTTCCTCTTCAATAAATGTAAATACAAACAACCATTCTCTTCTTGCTAATTATCCCAGCACTGGGGTGAGCATTCCAAAGGACGGGAGTGGGGGAAAAGGACTTTGATATGCCCTTTTACTTGGCTTTCTCCCGAGTCGAGTTCCAAAAACCTTCCCCACCATTTGGGCTCACCCAGCTGTTTGGGGTCATATCCTTCTGATGCTGTAAAGCAAAGGAAAGCTGAAGTAAAATCGTAGCCACAGTCACATGATTTTTCATTTAGCAACTGCTTTGTTTAATGACCAAGTCACCAGTCCCAAATGTGAAATGAGGACTACCTGTATTTCAAAGTAACGCACTTCACGATACCCTTCCCTGGATGTCACCAACTATCAACAAGTTGAGTTAAGGTTCAGGACCAGACCTCTTAGCATTTGAGATACTTCTAGGATTCTTTGCTAGCTACTGATGGGGTAGAGCTGAGGTTCCCGATTCTGCAGTGATCCCACTCTTTACAGGATTAGTCTCCAAGAGGACTCCCCCATCACTTGCAAGGTGTTATTGTCACACTTGATGCTGTTCTGGTCTGGTGGGTGAAGTAACCCAAGGAATTATAGGATAGAGTGTCATTGAATAAACTAAGGTACCCAGCATCACAAGCAAGTGGGATAAAATAAAATGGATAAGCAAGAACTGGGCACTACCTGGACCCCAGAGGACATGGCATTGCTATGTGATTTGGTGCTTTTTCCTGGGCAGCTGAACGCACTTTGGACAAAATCCTTATTCTGTATTTACTCATGCTTGACCATGCTTGCCACCTGGTCCCAATCAGTAACAGCTCGAGTTTTTAAACAACGTAAGGAAATTGTTTCACATCTCTTTCCAGATGTAGCTGTAGGAAACCTCTATAATTTCTTCTGTGCAAAGAAGTAATATATTGCATCTGTGTGGGGGTATGAATGCATTCCCCCCAAGGATTAATTAGGGTGTGCGTACATGCTGTATGAAGAGGGGTGGGGGTTTTGCCCTCCCCTCGTATTGTGTGAACTGGTTGCATACGCTTCACTCTGGCTCACGTGGCCAAGAATCTGGGTAGCTTAGACTGGAAGAGTCAGCAACCTTCTGAGCGGTTGCCCAGTTTCCTCTCCCATCAGGGTCAATGGGGGAGATTTTTCTCCAATGTTTTTCTCTACAGCCCCTGGCTGGATCTGATCCAAACTCAGCCTTTCTACTGCTGGCTTCTCCCCCTACACCAATTTTGGTCCCAGTTGATTGTTTTGGAGGAGTAATCCTGTTGACAAATGGACAGACTTTGAGGCTCCTTTAAACAATTTATCTCCAAGATTCTCTTGGATTGGAAAGAATTAACAGCCAATTCTGACTCGATCAATTACAGCCAATTAGCCTCCTAAATAAGTTGCGTCCTAGATAACTTTATTGCAAACTGCTTGACTAGCTGTCTCAGGGTAAGGTTGTATCTGAGGTCCAAGCAGGATTTAGGCCAAATCAATCCAGTTAACTACTACATAGTCCTGCAGCAGTTGGTGGAAAAATGTCCCAAAAAATCCCTTTATTGGATTAAAAATGGCATTTGAAGTAACTCTTTCTTTGATCACTGTTATTTTTGACCACAAAATTGTAATCCTACTAGGAAAATCAGATATGCTCTTTGCTGGCTAAAAGCCATAGTAAAATTGATCTGACCTGATCTGCCTCTTTGCACCAGTTCCTACTCAAAAAGGAGTGGCTACCCCACCCGAGTTGGCTAATAACCCTTTCCCAATTCTCCTTTATGAAGATGAAGCAGCAGCTCTCTGTAACTCAAGTGGGCCTAAGGCACCTTCATAATATCACATTATCTTGTGGAGGTTTGTCGGCATTTTTGTACCCTGCCAAATTTCACAAGGACGTTAGTGGCCTTCACTGAAAGGCTTGTCAGCTGCAATCATTGCTGAAAAGTAATCACCAGAATCGGACAAGCCAAGGTTGTTAAATATCTAGGAATAACCTTTTAATCCTTTCCTTTTGGAGGGAGTGATCAAAAGCTGTCAATGAACAGCCCCACAGGATTGCCAAGACAACCTGCATTTCACAGGCAGTAGAGGGAGCAACTATACCCCAGTGGCAATTAAGAACTTTAGAAATAGCAATTAGCTTTCTGCTGCATGATCCCAGAATTGCTTTTATAAAGACCTCGGACCCCTTGAAGCAGTTCAATCAAAACATTTGAAGAAGTGTTCTCTGACCACCCTGAAATGTACCTCTTTGTTGTTTGGAAACAGACTTTGCTTCTATAGGGGCTCTTATGGGGTTTTACCATCCTAGATTACTTTGATTTTCACGGAGGGCTCTTTGGCTCCATGACTCTCAGGAATAGCTTTTATTCCACTTGTGAAAAGGATCAAATTCAACTTCTGACAACATGGCCTCTCACTTCAGTATCTGAATGTGCTAGGACTGGAGAGCACCAATCTGATTCAAAAGAATTGTGAACTTCATGGGGTCTGGAAGGGACCTTGGAGGTAATCTCCTCCAATACCCTACCCAGCACACCATCCTCGACAAATGGTCATCCACAGTAGCCTGAGGAAGCCTTGTACCCCGACAAATGAGTAACAGTCCCTGCCCTTCTCACTATTAAGAGAGAGATTATAATACCTGAATCCAAGACTGATTCACTAGGAGATTGGGAGACACTGAATCTATTACCTGTGCTTTATTGTGTGATCCTTTTTATGCAGCTTGGCATATAGACTTAACAATCCCTTGTTAAATTACTTTATTTTGGCCAATGTGTTTTCTGAAACATCCAGGAAGGTAGCTAAGTCTTGTGCAAATGCTATTGCCATTAGAAGGCTAACTATTTGTTATGTCATAATCAAAATATATTGCGTGTCATGGACAAAATTATCAATAGGTGATTTCCTGTTTCATCTGTTTTCCCCTTTTCTATGTTAAGTATATTTCACTTTACCTTTAATTTGATCTTATTAGTTTATGGAGGGGGGGAATGTATAATTCGTTATTTAGTTTCAGAGTGTAAATGGAACTTTTACTACCTGTCATTATTTTCTAGTAACACTACCTATACCCATTTTGGTAAACGCTCCAGTAAAATATTACATTCTGTTATTGTAATGTAAGGAATGTACATTAAATATAAAGACATTACATTAAATTTCTTTAATGTAAATGTGTTTTTTTTAATTAAACCAGGGTGCCTAGTGGGCATCAAGGGACATGACCACAGGCACCCTGGGGCCCTTGAACATATTGCTGATGATCTCACAATGACATGGCATGATGTAACAAGAGTTCAGAAATTGGCTTTGAATGCACAACCATCTTGAAAAGCAAAGCATATTGACTTCTACCACTACTTCTAGCTGGCTTCAGGCCAAGCTTAAATTGCTTTTAAACTTTGTATCCCTCTAGCTGTGTTGACCAAAAGTTCCCAGCCATCATGATCAATGTCAGCTGAGAACTGTGGGAAGTCTAGTGCAATCAAGTTAGGAGGTATCACAACTCACACAGATGTCTGTCCCTAACCACAATGATGCCAAAAGATGAAATGTGCATCATGGCACCACACGTAAGCTCTGCCCTTTCATTCTTGCATTGTGGCACCACACACAAATAGATTTAGAGACAGAGTTGTATTGCAAAGCATGTTTTGTTACTTGCACCTCCCCCTGTCCCCCTGGGGCATGGCTATGACTACTCATCTTGGTTTGAGATCATGGTTTCTTCCTTAAGGACTTTCTCTCAAGAGCCTTCTCCCCTCAGCACAGATTTGGGAGTCTTGTTTCATGCTCATCTCTAAACCAGGGAGAGAGACATGAGATAAAATTTTCTCATTAGAAACATTTCAACTATGGAACTCTTTCCAAGTCAAAGTTTTACAACTTCCTAATTGATGCAACTTCAGAGCAAGTTGAAATAGCACTTTTGCACAGGCCCTGGGGAAAATTAAATGATATTTGTATTATTGCCTACTGCAATTGTGAAGTTGACTTTCTGGTTTTAAAGCTATCCTGTAATGTTTACACATAGTACTAAACTGTCATTTGCTTTCCCTTCAGGTGATGTGCAAATCCAGCCACTGAGTGGTTTATGCCTAAACACTGTTTGAATGAGGATGCTATAGCCTGCTAAACCTCAACTTAGCATGATGTGTCAATGTAGACATCAGAAAAAGAGAAACACGGGTGATAGAAAATATGATTGCCAAAAAACATACATCAGTTCATAAGTTAAAGTCCTTTTAGCATTGACATTAGAAATAAGAAACATGGAAACAAAGTGGCTTTATTTTAAATAGTTATACGCTCTCGAGCATCATAAAGAGGCCCCTAGGTCAAAGCTTGCCTTAACCACATAATATGCCAATTGTGGCAACTGACTATTCTCAGCTCCCCCAGCACGCGCTCCTCCAATAAAGGGATAATGCTTAGCTACTTGTCAATAATATGGCAGTAAGCATTGCACAACGGAATATGAAACACTCTATTTCCCCCATTTAGGCAAATACACAGCAGTCTCCCATACAACAAAGTAATCTGGGAAGAATGCTTTGATGAAAGCAAAGGACTGGTAATTACACAAGAATTCTTCCTAGCATGGCAGAGGACATTAGTATAGAGAGGTCCACTTTAAAATGCACATAAAAGTTTGAAAGATTAATTTAAAAACATGGCAATAGAGGGCAAAGGCAAAAATTCAGATAAGGGTGAACAGAAGTCCCGCTATCAAACAGAATGATTTAAGCAGTGACCAACTTTGGTTTGTGCTCCAACCCTGGTTAACAAAAGGTCAGAGTTAAATTCACATGTAATTAGATCAGTACTCAGCTACTGCTGTCCACAATTAGAGGGAAAATACCATCAGTCATCAAGGCTTAGGAAGACCTGGCCACTTCTGGCCAAGATTGTGCAATGGGCCATAATACCTATGTTCAATTCAGGGGTGGAGTTCATATTCTGTAGCTGTGGGTTAATGTAATGGCTAAAAAATCAAAGAACAAATCAGGTCTTCCTTTTGTCACAAATTCACTGCTCAGGGGTTTTAGCCAAACCACTCTTGGCTTCATCGCTAATACTCAGCTGGGAAATAAGACCACCTGATCTCATAGGCTATCAACCTAGATGATGCATGTGAATCTCTAGGAACTCTACAGAAATACTACTTTTATGTTTATTTTAAAGATTATATTAACTTCAGCAGAATTAACTTACTCCCCTTTGTTGTGTTCTTGAACTGTGTTGAATTGTGCATATCTAATCTAAATCAGAGACTTGCTGCTTCAAAAGATTATAGCAGTGTCACCAAACAATGCCCAGTTACCTCAATAAAAAAAAAAAATCCCCAGAGTGGACACAAATAGCTTAGGCAAACTGTACTTATTAACAGGAAATACCTGAACACCAAAAAGCTAAAATGTACTTAGAATAACAAGCAGCTTTACAAGCAAATCTTAAAGGCTGATTTCAGCTTTACATTTCAATAACTTAACATATCTGGAGGCACAAGCATGTGTGTGTATTTGTTTATTCATAATTCTGAATTGCCTTGGGATACCAAAAGTAGTTCTAATTAAGGTGATTTAACAAAATTGTTGACCTCACTTTTCGGAATATCCATTGATCCATTTTGTTATTTCAATGGCTACCATGTGTTAAAAGAAACATAACATGCACACATTTGTACAGGTTTCATAAAGTCTATTTCATTATTTGTGGGTACCGCATCCAACAGTTAAATACATTTAAATAATGTATTATGTAGTTACTGCACTAATGCAGAATTGAGAACTAGATAGAGAACCAATTTAACTAAAAACCAGCTAACAAGGAACTGCCTAAATATTCTTAATACAGCTCTTGTTCTAGGGCATCCCACTGAGGAGGAAAAAACCCTCCAAGTCATACTGGAATTACATTTTTAAGGCCATATTCTTCCGATATCCCATTTTCTGCAGCAGCTTTCATCACACCTTTAAGCCTCCAATTCCAGGCCAAGCCCAAGTTTATGTCCACCAGCATTGATGTTCTTCCCATCGATTAGGGCAGACAGCATGATCTTCACACCTGCAGATAAAACACAATTAAAAGCAGGTTCCATCACGCCTAACTTTCCCTTAGCTGACGCTTCCGGCTAAACCTGTTGGTCTACTCCCATTCACCCTTTTAGCCTCCTTTCTCTTTGCTGTTTTCTCTCAATGCCTTTCTTCAGCCTAGAAGTTCCACTCAAGGGAATTCCCAGGGGAAAAAAAAAAACTTAGTATCTCTTTGGAGATACACGGAATTGTTTGAAAGAATTCCAGATCTTCAGCTACAGTAAGATGTTTTCTTGCCAGTGTGTTTATTTACCAAGCTTCACACACTACTGACTGAGAACCCTGGCAGCTTACACAAAGGAATTATGACATCAATTCACGAAGGAGGCATCCATGTCCGTGTGCCCAAAATCCAATGTGGAGGCCACTACAATCATACCTACCTCCCCCCACCCTCTTCTGTTCTAGGAGACTTAGTGCATCTAGTTTGTATAAGCCACACACACCTAAAAACTGGGAGGGAGAAGGGCCAAAGATGTTGACCCATCCACTCCTCCAATATCACTGTGTGTCAAGCTTCCTGCAGTCCTTCGTCCAGAGATCAAACTTAAAAGTGTATGGCCTCCAGAGAAAACCTATCTACCCTCACACTAAGGAGAAATATACTGCAGAATTCTGCAAGACCCTTATTCTCACTGGAATAATAAATCTAACTGTAAGTCTGTTATTTCAGAATTCAAGGCTCACAGTTTTTAGAACATTTCCTTTATACAAAAGTGTTTCCCCAACATAGAACACTATTTGTTTCTGGGTGTATAATACTATTTTTGTCAAGATGAGCTATCATGACTTTCCTCCTGCAGTTAGAGGCAGAAGTGCCTCTAGCAGAGCTTATTACAGTGAGAAAAACAGGATTAAATGTTGGTATCAGAAGAAGATACAGAAGAGAGTATAGAGAAGAATGTGATTAAAATGAATCTCCTGTATTTTAGTTGAAATATGTGATTAAATTTTCACACTGTTGCTTACAACAATGCAAGGCCTATATAACTTTTTATATAAACTTCTACAGGGTCTCCATGATCACTCCACATAAGAACACGGGTTCTAGTTTTCATGAATTTTGTATTGAGTAACAATTGTTTAGTTCTCCACACAACTGAACATTGTGGAAATTAACATCAGGTGGGAAAGAGATCTTACAATTCTCTCTGACATGGGACAATCACGGCTTGTAGTAAGTATTATGTACTTGTGGATACTAACATTTTAAATGTTTTTCATAAAACTAAATCCTGAAACATTCCACTGTACCAGCATTACTTTAGCTGGTATTTCTCTAGATGTTTGCAATTCTTATCATCTTTCAGGGATAATAATTAGAATTAGGCATATGCAAGCATTTCAAATTCAAAGTGTGCCGCTTTGAGTGCAAAACAGGTGTTTTGCATTTGAAATGGGCTATTTCCAGTTGTTTTACAAAAGCTTTGAGCATGAAAAAAAGCATTTCAAATTCCCAATGTTTTATGAAGCATTTATGAGAAATGTAAAATTTCTGGAAAACTTTGAAGCAATGGTATTTTTTAATTCTTGAAAAGGAACAGAGACAGAAATATTTGCATATATTTCCTTTAGCCTCCTTCGCAGATATAAATACTGTTGTCAATATCTACCCCAGTTCTGGTGCTCTGGTGCCTACCAGAGAACAGATCCATCTTCCTCTAAGTCAAGAGGAAACAAAGCATTGAGCAAAGGACTGTAAAAAGATTATCTGATGGAAGAAGTGCATTCCTGTCCTTATAGCTGTGGGTTGTCCTGTATGGCAACTTGCACAGAAATGTAATGAACTAGAGCTATAAATAGTTTTCCTACTACATAATTTTTAGAAATAATTTCAGATAGCAAAAGCTAGGTGGCAATATATGACCATTTTTGTTAATTATTTTACGTGTAATTTTTAAACATATGAGGACATTTATAATAGAAAACAACAAAAAGGTCTTAGGAGAAAAAAATGCCCTCTTTCCTGTGCCTTCATACAACTATTTCTGACAACAAACAGCATGTCTTTTCCAATGCAAGAAACACTCTTCAAACAGCTGGATCAGTATCCATTTGTTATCTTTAAACACAAGCTGCAAACCTATTTATAAGTTAACATCTATTACACCTAAATAATGGTTAACATCTATATCCAGCTTTGTCAGAGCTTCTCAAATAGAGAAATTAAAACTGTCATACTTGATCAAAGTAAATCCTTTCTGAAAAGTAACGTCTCACATTTTAGCAAATATTTACCTGGCCTCAGGGACTGGGTGTAGCCAATTCCAATTAGACTAGAGTTGTTCACTTTTGTCTGCAAAGCAATGACAAGCAAAATAAAATTCTTTCAACTCTATAATTTTTAAAGTAACTACAAAATCCAGTAAAAATACAATTGAAGTTTGCCAAATTTGCAATACACACATATAACTCCACCTATTTTTGCTTGTTTTAAATATAAATGAATAAAGAACTGGGTGTTTACATCTCATAATAAGCTTTGAGCCACTGGGAATAGCACTAATATCAAGCAACCAGTTAAATACCATTCTATGTCAATTCCACCCAGTGCTATTCCTGGGGTTGTGAATACAATCCGGATTGGGCCAAAACTTATTCTGGAATGGACACTCGCAGGTCCTCATTCATTTCTATGCATACCTTTGCTCTTGTTAGCATGAGAGTGGCATGCCTCATGATGTCTATCAGTGGAACAGTTCTTGTTGGGTTGAAGAATTCTTCCCATTCTCAAAGTAATATAAGTCACTACATGAAGCTCTTGAAAGTTCTCAAATCGGCTGACTGGTAAGCCATAAACTGTTGCTCCTATATATTCAAAGTTCCCAGGACAGAACTCCCAGGATAGAATTTTCTGCTTTTCTTCTGGACCATGCTGATCCAGTTGTTATGGGAATGGTTTGACGGTTTTCCAAAATAAATTTTCCAGAACGGGAAATAGTTTGTGATATTTAGCTCCAAACGGGCAAACTATTCCATCCCCAAAACACTAAGTTTCACACACAATTAGTAGTCCATACTGAATGCTATCAATGGCACAACCTAAAAATTAGCCACAGATTTAAGAATTATAAACAGTTTTAGAATACCCACAATAAACAATGTAAACAACAGTTAAGTCCACCGTCTGCAACATATACCTGCAAAAAACAGAGCTATACCAGCAGTAAAAGAGTAACAGATGGTTTCACTTCAACATACAGCATAACGTTTCTTTTAAAGTAGATTTCAATCTCTGCTCCTGTACTTACTCTATCTTTCCTTAAGGGCTAACAGCAGCAGGGATGTGATTTATCTTTGCTACTTGATTTAATAACACACAAAGTTTCTGTGGTTAGGAGTTTTTTTTAAAAAGGAGCCAATCACAGGATGCCAGAACATTTGAAACAATGTGGATCAAAATAACCCCATATTGTCCCAAGCTCAGAAAAGTTCAGGGGATCTTGTTCCAGATTCAGGAAGAAAGCCTGAAACATGGCAGGTACTGTTCAGGATGCAGAACTGTTTTGAGCTTCAAAAGTTTTGAGGTCAGAATGTTTTCCACCCTCTTTGTTTTATGTTCAGATCAGCCTCAGAATTGCAGTTGACAAATAACCTGGACACTGCAAACTGCAATACTGCTGCTTCTTATTTCAGTCTAATTATTTCAAGAGAACCCTTATATTTTACAGGAAGTTTAATATTTGCATTATTTTATTTTCTGTCTTTTCTGGACTAACAGTGACAAAACGTTTCAGTATCCTTTTACATTGATCCCTCTCCCGGTGAAGAAAGCATCAAGTGAAAAAGGAACTCGATTGGAGTATCTCACATGTATGTAAGGATGCCAGTACAAGAAGTCAGCCAAACTCTGGTGTATAAAATGATCCTGAAATTCGTCCCCAACATCAGAACTGCAGAGGGAAAGAATAAGCCCCAGATCCTCTCCTGACCAACACCTCCTGTCCAGAGTTTTAGCTCTGGGTTTGCTGCACATACAATCAACTTCTGCTTCTTCCTTTTGGTTCCAAGTTACAGAGGGGGAACAGATACAACTGACTGCCAAAAAGACCAGCGCCACCGCTTCTCCGCAAAGGGAACAGTGGAATTGTATTAGCTTGGTATAAGTGTTCAACAGATGGCTGAACAGGCACACACACACAAGAAAAGCCTGCGGATTTCAACTACCCTCCCGAGCTCTAAGTGGAAGCAGATGGTTGAGATACTGCTTTTGAACTGGCTTCAAACTGCATTTTTAAAATGCATCACTAAATCAGGGATAAGCAGCCATAAGTTTTTGATTGCTAATCATGGCTGCCCAAAAATGTCTGACTTTTACATAAAACAGGAGAAAATTATTGGCACTACTTAGCACTAGCCCAAAATGGAGATGCACGAAAATCAGACTTAAAAAAAAAGTTTATGTTGCTTTAACAGAAAGTAAAACATAGTTTCTTACCTTGTCATTTACAATGGAAGTCAGGTACATTAAATTTATATAAACTAAAAGGATAATGGCATACCTACGGTGAGTCCACACAACTCCAGGGAATCTCAATTCAATGCTGCCAAACACCTGATACTTAACCATTAGATGCCATTTTTATTGGTGACTGAAACTTACCAAATGTTTGAAAGGTACACAGTGCCTTTGACACTCAATGTTCTTAATCAGCATTGCCTTATTATAATCTTCGATAAATTCATGTTACTTCCATATGAGAAATATTATTCAGCAGATTCACAGCAGAGATCAGAGAGTGAAACAAGTAGCTACTTTGTATCACAGAGTAATCCCCAATCACTCTTAGAACCACTCAGAGCAGGTAGCTCCCTACCATCAATAATCAAAAGCCAAGAGGGCCAAGCCCGCAGGAAAAACCACAGCCACTCGCAAAGCCCCAAGGTTTTCAGACATCAAGTCTATGAGTCAGTCCTTGCATCTTAAAACTTTTTATTCGGGTTACTAAACCTACACAGCAAGGCTGGGGTTGGCCAACTTAGAAATCCAAATCAAGCACAAACCTTGGATGAGAAAGGTGCACTAGAGGCTTCACATCGGTACAGGATCTTTTCAATTTAGCACTGGGATTGTAAGAAGTTTTACTTACGGAAATGGATGCAGTAGGATCCAGCTGATACTTTGCTGCAATTCCAAAACGAGTGCTATTGGTGCCAGATACCCAGTTAAGATTTATGGCAGTTTCAAGGTTCTCGCTGACCTTCTGATAAATTGAGCCACCAAATTCTGACCCATCATTGCTGAAAAATATTGTAGCAACAAAAAGACGTGATAAAACAAAACAAATTCAAATTAAAGGATTTTCTTAATTTCCCCCTTACCAAGTTATTCTTAATTTTCTCCACTAACTTGTCAGTTTTAAGTAAAAAAAAAAAAGACTGGCAAAAGCTTTCCTTAGCAGTTTATAAAAACTGTTTTAGAACATAAGTGCAGTAATGCTAGTTTCCCAGAATGTCTATACAGATATGTATCACATACAAGCCAGCTGCCAGAAAATTTTTGCTAGAAAAATTGACAGCACCAAATAACTGTGCACGCAGAAGCAAATACAAACAGGATGGGACAGAGGTACTTTCTATATTCTATAGACATATGTCACGAACAGGCGAGAGCCTGTACAAAGTCTTTTCAAAGAACAGAGAAAGAAGAAACAGAGGTCTGCAAACATTCATTTCATGACTATGTCAAGGGAAGGCCATGGACTTTTCCAAATATGTACAAATCCATATTATGCAGACTTTTAAGTTTCATCCTACACTCATAAATGTACAATCATTGGGAGCAAAGCCAGAAGACTTTTTTTTTTCCCTTCCTAGCGTTTTTCCAACAGGTGCAAGGGTCCATTTTTTTTATTATTTTTTTTGGATCAACCAAATGTTGATCCACTGGTTGCAACAGGAATTGACTGACCAGCTTGTCACCCGAGCCTGATATCATGGGCTGAGAGAGAGTGACTGGACCAAAGTCACCCAGCCAGCTTTCATGCCTAAGGCAGGACTCCTGGTTTTTAGCCTGGAGCCTTAACCTCTCCAAAGCCAGAAGACGTATATATACTATAAATTAAATACAACAATATTTTCCTTGTGCAGAAGATTATGAGCTCAACCTGTTAGGCACAGTTTCTTTTAGGTAACAAAAAATTATTTTCTACAGGAACCTATTGCTCTATCGAAGTAACTGAAATTGCCTTGTCTGTGTTTATTCAATTTGCCCAGTTATAAAAGCCTTCAAATCTCCAGGAGTTTTCATGCAGTGTATAAATACATACATCAAGTGAACAAACTCATAAAAATAGGGCCACAGTAACTTAAACATGTGAAGAATTCTAGCTTATCATGAATGAGAATGTGTTGGAATATGCAGGTCAACTGCTTCTTTTAGGCTCCTTCTGCTAATGGTGATGGCAAAACAAACCACTGAAGTTTATTTCATAGTTTGTTTACCATGACATGGAAAACTGCAGCTTGTTACCCAAATAAATTGGAGCTGAAGCCCCAGCTGCAATTCATACCCTATCAATTTAAAAGAATTGTGTACTGCTTCTCAGTTTAAAAAACCCAGAAGCAGTTCACAATAAAACATCAGCTTCAGGTAAAACTAAAGATCCCTGGTAAACAAATCACAGCAGGATTTCCCATGCTTTATTTAGCTGCTCTGACTAACAGGAGGAACCAACCAGCTTCTTCGTGCTTCTGGCTAGCCACATGAGAACAGAGCACGATTGAATTCACTCATCTTAGTAATCATAATGTTGATCACCCTTTCTGATAATTAAGCATTCAGCAATTAAGCCCTACATACTATAGGCATATTCAAGGATATCACAGCTCCAGCAAAGGGACACTATTTCCCAAGACAGACATTTAACTTTCTGGATGTCTTTGTGAACAGCAATATGATTGCGCTTAGTTTAAAACTTACACATTGGTATGCAGTTGGAAGTCCCCGGTCTTGTAACCCACAGAGAAGTTATTTCTTGTCAACTTGGATTTGGCACTATCAAAGGTCATTTGGTAACCAGCAAGCCAGCCCTCATAACCCAAGACAACGGATCCATGGATGGCAGGTCCAGCAAAATCAAAGTCAACGTCACACCCAAGGTTTATGCATTCACGCTTATAAGCAGATTTGATTTTGCCACTTTTCTTTCTGCAAAGAGAAATTCTTCAGTAAGATTTGTTTTTCCTTCTGATGTATAAAACTCACATCTAATCTTTAGCAGAAAAATAAGAAAAGCCCACCTAGCACTCCTGAGTGGTGGACAAAATAAAGCAGAACTGCCATCAGAAAATGATGGCATCAACGTACTTAAGGGACAAGAAGGTCAAAGGATGTTTACTTCACATTCACAAACCAATTATGAAGGGCTTAAGTTACTCAATACCAATCCCTGGCATGTCTAAGATGGGCTATAAGAACAAATTAAAACTGAAGAGAGTTCCATCCAGCTGTCACAACAAATTGAGCTAGCTGGACCAATTAAGTGATTCTGAGAGCCAACCTAGACAAAACTGCACACTGTTTATATAATATAAAAATAAATATGCACCATTATTTCTCTCCATAAACCAGGCAGATACTAAAACCAAAATGTGAACAATATAAAAAGTGATCCTTTATGTTAACCCAGAATGTGGAAAACAAAGCAATTCAATTCAGACAGGCTTCTTCCCTTTTTCTTACTCAAGAAAAATACATCCACTACATTTTATACCTACTGCTATAGAAAGGTAAATATTTCAACTGGATATAGAAGTTTCAAGGGTTAACAATAATGTCAGTTATGCATGACTGGAAATCAATGTCTCTCAACCGGCTTTTGACTTAAATTCTGTTTCTGCCTGAGAAAGCAGAGGCCAAGGCAAATATCCATGTGTCATACGAATATGATTTTAACATCATCATAAATAGTAAGCTACTAACATTCTTTTCAAATCTTCCTTGTTAATCCTTTTCTCACTTTGCCTACCTGGAATGTGCCAAGATAGAGTAACAGAGAAAACTCACCCAGTGTTTGGCGAGAAAGTTGTATCAAATGTTAACTTCAAACCTTTGGCAATCTAGTTTAGGAAAAAAAAAAGTTAGCTAGGAATTATCAGCATCCCCTCTTTAATCTCTCTATAAATACAAACTAAATTACCTGATCTTCAATTGCCATTTCCGTTCCCAGAGTATTATCTGTGTTCCATTTTTCTGTGAAAGTCACACCATACTCAGCCCACTTGTATTTGGTCTCCAAGCTTCCATTCACTTTCCCTGTATCTGTGTTTGATGAACCAGATGTTGCGAATTCCTAGCAAAGCAACAGAGACAGATGTTCTTTGTTTAACAAATGAAAAAGCAGATGCCAAAAGGAGACATAAGAATCAAATATCCATCATTTTACGAATAGTTTGATTCATTTTATTTCAGCATCTTTTATTACAATTTAGTAACAATTTGGAAGAATCAGATACTCCACACACATTTGTTTAGGTTAAAAGTTACCAGTGCATACTTCATAAAAATCTCATACAATGTATACTCCTGTCAAATGCAGAGCACAAAATAGCCAGGATGGGCGCAATGAGACATTACTCTAAAGCACAGTTTGGCAGTCTGAGAATGAGTAAGTAAAATCCTCAGGATCACACCTCCCCCCTACTTTTTTAAGCAATGGTAATTTCTGGTCCATGTTTGTAATAAAACATGATTTATTTCTGCCAACAGAACTGTAGACCAATATCAGAAGTTACTGAGGACATAGGGAACATGCAAGCCTAAAGCCTGTGCAAACCCATAAAGCATTATGTCTGAATAATCACAAAACAAAGGCTGAATCATATAGGGCCCAAGTTAAGATTTATAATAATAAAAACCAATAATAATAAACATCCTGGCTTAAATTAAGACTCTCTCCCAACCATGAGTTGGAAAGCAAGAAAGTAAGTTCCATAACCTATTACTGGATTGCTCTAACTGCAAGTTGCCATAACAACCACATTGTGCTAATAATGATACAGCTCATCGTCCAGATTTGTGAATGTTATTTGAAATTATGGCTAACTTTAACCTGCCCCATTAGGACATCACTTCAACTAAGATTAGCGCAGATCAGGGAAGAATGAGAAGAAATCCGCAAGGGAGGAAAAGGAATGGGCACAGAGCACACATTCTGACATGACCATGGAATGAGAATTAGACAAGGTCAAGAAACCTTCTCTTTCCCTTTCATTTCCATCTACCTGAATTGGCTAATTCTGAAGGAAAATGAGAACAGCTGAGCAATGAATGCCCCAGGGAACCAATTCTTGCCTCTCATGTTCCTAGAGGTTTCTTGAAAACTGCTTCTCATGCTAGGTCCTGCTGCCTGGGGCTCAGACACCTAGGAAAGCTAAAGCACCCCCTCTCTGGATAAAAGATAAATTATCTTACAACCTAGCCATTATTACTTACTATTACACTTAAGTACTTACCACTCCACTTGTGGATTTAGTTTTCACATCCAATTTCACCAGGCCAAAACCTTGACAAAATAAAACTGAAGTTAATATGCCAATCTTTCAAGTAATTAATACCATAGCCAAGTATTAACTTCAGAAATTTCAGAACAGACTCTTTCTGGTTGCACTACTGCTACTGTAACATAGCTTTGATTTTAGAACTATACTGAATATCCTATTTTCTTATCAACTCTGAAACTGCCTCCAATGCAGCTGAGGGAATAAACACTTAACTATTTCTTTTGGACTGGCAGGCACATTTGGAGTTTTGAGAGCATATCGCTGACACTCATAAAACGGCTGCAGAAGCTGTGGCTAGGCACAAACTAATTTACAAGGAACCTGATGGGTTATAAAATACTCCCTACTACTATAGCTTAAATTTGTCTTTTTTTTTTATCGGGGAGGGAGCATACCCAGCATTATTTATTAAGAATGCCTGTGGGTCACATATATTGGCAGCATACGCTTTTCCATTTATATGTTTTTAAATTAAATTTTAAAGTAAAATAGATGAAGCAGGGATCCTGGCAATAATTAAGGAATGTTTTCATGGGAATCAGATTACTTATTTCTTCTCTACCTGCTGACAGCTACCCTGTATAGACCTGTTCATGTGCAGATGTAAATGTTTTTAATAGCACAGTGAAGACAGCTGTCTCCATATTGCATCATAAAAAAGATTTCCATTTGACAACATATGTATAGAAGCTCTACCAAAAAAAAAAGAAAGAAAAGAAAAAAAGTTCCTCTAGGACTCAGTGGTCTTAATCTTCCTCTCTCCTACCAGGCTAAACATGTCATTCACAACGAACACGGAGAGATCTTTACAAGATCTCTGAATGTTAGGAATCTTATACCAACATCTGAAGAGAAAAAGATCAGTTTTCCACTTCCCACATACCACTTATAACTTTATATTCAGGCAAATGAATCAGGGGTTGTTGTTTTTCAGTTCCTATTTGTAAATCACTGTGAGATACAGCTGCTATAGAGTGCAATGAACTGAAAAATTCAAGATCAATCAATAAGCTTCTGTCAAATAGTATTCAGGTCTCAAGCGCTAGGCCCTATTCTTTCCTGTAACCAAATAACCGGCATCTTCCTCACACATTACAAGTGCCAAGAAAAACTGACACCGCTTTGACAACTTCCGTTTGGTAGTATGGTTCACCATCTGAACATCAGCAACACTGCACCTCTCCTGCTCAACCAAAACAAAAAGCATTTAAGTTGGGCACAGAACTATCACCATACAGCAATTACCCATATCCACTTTCAGAAACGTATCCCTACACTTCAGGGGGAAGGAGCAACGTTTTGGTGGCCAAGGGCTGTATTTAATATTTTTGAGGAAGCTGAGGGCCACAGTGGGTTGGTTTTTCTCTTTTTCTCTTTGGATGATTTTTTCTCTTTGTTTTGGAGGATCTTTGGAGCAATTTTTATTTTGTAAACTACAAACTGCAAGCCTATTGTAGTGATTAATTTTTATCTGTTTATGCCTCCAAATGGAGAGAAAGCATGATATCTATTTCTAGTAATAGGGATCCAAGCAGGCTCTAGGGGTTACATATGGTCCTGGGGCCTCAGTTTCCCCACCCCAACTATGTGTGAAAATCTAAAGCACTAACACTTGCCGGTGTATGCAAAACCTACTTTTTCAGGAATGAATGTTCCACAGAACTCCAGTATGTTGTTTTCCTCTGGGTTGTGGCAAAACTCCACAAACCACTTCTATAAAATTGCCAGGCTAGTGTGGTCCAAAAGAGAAATACAACATTCCAGTTTTTCAAAACACTAAATTGCTAGAATATTAGGTTTTCCACATCTCTATTGGTTGACTATTAAAATCACAAGTATTTCTATTTCTGTTCTGATCCTGTATAGAACTTTCCTATTATAAGAATGACAAATCTTATTTCAAAGTAAAAAGGCAAAATCCGTCTTTATCCAAACTGGCTTGAGCAGATCTGTTACAAAAATTCAATAGCAATTACATGAAAAAGAAACTAAGTAATATGGATTGGGGTTTATTGGCAAAATAAAGACAGTATTATGACAGGGTCAGTATAAAGAAAATATTACGCTAGGGTCAGGACAATTCCCTATTCAAAAATTTTCCCTATACAAATATTCATACCAAATCCTTTGTTGAAGATGTCTCGGGCAGACTTGCCAAGGTCGCAATAGGCTGGTGGAATAGCCATTGGCGCTATGGAAACACAGTAATGAACATGTTAGTACTGCAAAAAGAGAATAGGTAGAATAATTATTTCTATGCCAACTACACAGAAAATTCATAGACACTATTAGTCTACATATTTTTTAAAAGAGAATTGGTTTCAGATGCAGCAAAATGGCACTGGTAGTCCAGCACTCTGCATTTTTCATTACTAGGAACCACAAATTAAGATGTTCAGACCAACTCCCCAGATAATCAAAGCCATACTTTTCCAAATCAACATGTTTGGGTTTTTTTCCCAACTACAAAGAAATACATGTTTAGTTGGCTGCATCTTTTCCACATCCTGACAACTGCAAATTTATTCACATAACACAAATAAAATCCAATATCCTCTTTATTTACGAAGTTTGTATAGTAAGAGATCTGCTTATTCATTCATGAATCTGGGCTATATACAGAAGCACTGAAGACCATTGAAAATCCATGACATTCAAATCATGGACAAAGAAATTATCTGCAATGTTATTAAACTTGCAGTATAAGTCTGATGTTATATTTAGGATGCATTTGTTTTAATACAGAACATCTGTTCTTCAAATCCTAATATGCAGATATTAAAACATGACTTCCTCTCTCTGCTATGAAAAGATTTGCCTGATTTTACATCATTTTGTTAAGCACAATAGCAAATCAAACCAATCATTTTCTACTCAGCAACAAATCAATGAGATTCTACTCAAATCAACACATTTCCCATTCCACGAGTTTAAAAATCAGTTAATGCTTTGACTGATACAGGTTTGAAAGAATTATCCTCCAACTCCAAAGACATAAAATACAGTTTTAAAAGAAATGTCCTCCAGTTCCAAGGATATAAAACCAACTTAAATTCAAAGGCTTCAGATTCAATCCCAAAGGTGCTTTGCAGCACATGGGGCTGGGAATACAGGTAGTCCTCGACTTACAACCATTCATTTAACAAACATTCAAAGTTACAATGGTGCTGGAAAAAGTGACTTACTACCAGTCCTCGCACTTACACCCGTTGCAGCATCTCCACAGTCACATGATCAAAATGCAGGTACTTGGCAACCGGCACGTATTTATGACAGTTGCAGCGTCCCAGTGTCATGTGATTGCCATTTGCAATCTTCCCAGGGGGCCTCTGACACACTAAGTCAATGGGGGAAGCAGGATTTGCTTAATGACCGCATGATTCACTTAACGACTGCAGCAAAAAAGGTTGTGAAGTCAGGTGTGACTCACTTAACAACCACATCGCTTAGCAATGCAAGTTCCTGTCCCTATTGTGGTCATAAGTCAAGGACTAGCTGTATAGCTCCTGCCCACAACTCTTTAAAGCAACCATATCTTCTTCAGGAATAATATGTTAATTGTGGATAACAGCCTTGCAATCCCAGAAAAAACACAGGTGTTTTAATGTGTTGCAGACAGGCATAATATTTATGCTCCTGCAGTCTCCAAAGAACCTTTTCTGAACTACTTCCAAATCAACATACAGTCCTACAAATAATTATCCATGACATAAAAAGTCAACCTATACATCCACCTACCAGTATTTATATTTTCCAGGAAGTATCATAAAAACATCTGTATGTTCTATTTCCACATTTAAATGGAATGGCTTCTCATATCCTAATCTTATTTCTTAGGAGATAAAAGACTAAAAAATGGGTCAATTAACTTAGTGTAACTTCTGACCAGGACCTTCCAGACACAAATGAAATTGAACTTTCTTTTCTCCTTCCCTTTCTGTTACCATCCTGAGATGCTTCCAGGTTCAGAGTTGTTACTCACTGGTTTATAAAAATGCATATTTGCAAGCAAAAAGCATGATGTGCCAAATTAAATAATTACAAAGAAATTAGAGAAGCAGCTATACTTCCTAATTTTAGTTATGTATTGACTTCTAGAAACAGAATGTTAAGAAGGGGAAAAATTAATTTGCAAATCCCAAGTCTAAGCTCAAATGCAAGCAAATGTAATTAAATCTTAAATTAGGTAAGTTGCATAATTAAGTTGCACCTTTCCCTGAAGCTCTTCTTTGAGATGTCTCCACAACCTCATCTTAAGCACCCTTAAGGAATTGTTAGAAAACTTTGCAAGTATCTATAACTTCAAATATTAAAATAGATCATAATGAGGAACACGCAGACATTACAGAAATTTCCTTTAAAATACTCATTTAAGATGGTCCTAGATTTGTTTTGAATAACTAATATTGTCAAAGCTACACTAAGAATTATCCCTCTATTAGATATTAGTCTTCCCTCCAAACCTCAATATAGCTTATAAAATTGTTAGTTAAGTTACTTCAACATCCTTACATTAACTCTTTCCCTACTTACGTCTTGGTGGGCGCTGACATGCTGGATTAAAAGTCATAGCTATTTAGTCCAATTTAGAGTATCTACAAAATGGGGAAGGGGGAGATTACATCAAAGTTAAGGTTAGTAACTCTTACAGACCATTTCAACAGTTGCATTCTTTATTTTTTTCATTGTTACATTTGCAGGTAATTGAAAATATTTGTGTGGCTCCTCTTACAAACCAAAGCGCCCCTTTGTTTGGGGAACCTGCTTCCGCCCCAGGCAGAGGCCGAGAGTCTGGCCCTTTCAGCGACAGATTTAAAAAGAAGCCACCCAACTCAAGCCATACGATTACCAAGCGCAACCCTCCACGCGGCCATCTTACAGACAGCCACGATCCTGGCCCTCTTCCTCCTATCTCTGCCTCCAGCATCTACTACACCCGCATGTTAGCGGCACGCCCTCCTCCCTTGCAAGCGCGTGCCTTGCAGGAACGGAATCTGCTGCTCGAATACCCAAAACAACGGGGGGGGGGCGGGAAGGGAGAGAAAAGAGGGGGGAGCGGTCCCCTCCCACCACTTGGCTGGCAACCTTAAAAAAAAATAAAACC